CCGGGGGGTGTGTGTGTGTGTGTGTGTGTGTATGTCTGTGCGTGTCTGCGCGCGTGTAACCTCTGTGTCACTCGGGTCACACAGTTGCGTGTGGATCCAGCTACTCCCCGCGCCGGCGGGGGTCGCCTTTCCCACATTTCCCAGCGCGGCCGGTTCCCGCTGAGGTCCCGAGAAGAGCGTGAGTGACCAGCGTCTGTTATCGATCACGTATATGCTATAGGCACACATGTGTTTTCTATGCATGCAACACATTTACTGGGCTGCAGGCTTTCCCTAATGACCATTGGCCTCGAGGGATAATGGGGCGCAGAAGAAGGGGGTAATAACGAATTAATTGCAGATGAGAAGTAATATCCGTCTTTGAGTCATCAGTCTTTGAGGCATAATTTCATTGCAAAAGCTCTTAATCAAACTGGAGATCTGCTATAGGAAAGCACTGCTTTTCCCATAGGATTATCAGATTTCCACCAGAGAATACAGATCCTGGATTATTGAGCTACATGGGATTTGCGTATTTCTTTCTAATTAGTCTGAGAATCTGAGTTTAAAATTCCTTATTTGGAAGGGGGTGGGGGAGTTACTTGCTTCTACAAGACTAGACGTCTCTTTTCTCTGACATTTTGCGCAGTTATTCTGGTTATCCTGTGCTCTGTAGATGACTTACTGCCTTAATTGGATATTGGTGTCAAAGGTTGATTAGACTCCCTAATAGATTTTGGATTTGCAAGAGGATTGCAGTTTTAAATGCGTGGTTAAAACAATCGTGTTTGCCATCTCCCCTCGAACAGTTGAGAGGAAGACTGATGCATTACACTTGCGTTATCTTCTCTTTGGTTTATTAATGTATCATCATGAGGTTGTCGGGTTTGGTTTTGTTGTTGTTGTCTTTTTCCCCTCTGCTTTTTCATTTGCAGACCGAAAAGAAATGAATGTCAGAGAGGATTTGTTTAATCATTTAACAGCTGACACAAGCCATGTCCCTAACAAAACATTGGTGAGAGAGTAGAAGATTTCTGGGATACAGCAGCTCTGGTGCCGTGAAGCCGCTTCAGTGGGTCAGGGGCAGCGTTTGCTGAAGGATGCGGTAGCCCAGGGGTCGGGGCTCGCCGGGAGGAGGTCGATGGCTTGCATGGAGCTTCTCTACCTGGCCGAAGAGAGCAGGCAGGTGCCCCTGGGCACCGCTGCCGACTGGAGCCTGCCCTCCCCTCCCTACGAGCAGCAGCAGCAGCAGCAGCAGCGTGAGGGGGGTGAGGTGAACCCCAGAGCAGCTGCCACCGTGGCAGCCCTGCACTGCGAAAGGCATTGCAAGCCCTTGCAGAGGAGCCCTGTGGCTGAGTCCCCCCGGGCACCCCGGCCCTCCTCGCCAGGTGCCTCTCCCCAGGAGCACCCTGCACCCCCCGGCACCTCCCAGCCCTGCCACCCGCCCGAGCGCTTGTCCGGGGAAGAGGATGGGGGGAAGAAGAAAGCCTGCTGCTGTGCCCAGGAACTTGAGACGTCATTCACCTATGTGGATGAAAATGTAAACCTGGAGCGTGCGAGAAGTCCCCCCAGTCCTACAGGCAGCCGCTGCCAGGATGCCCCTCTGCAGCAGCCTTCCTGCAGGGAGCTGCTGCCCGAGTGGGTGCATGATTCTCCTTCCCTGGTCTCTGAGGAGGACGACGCTGCCTCGGAGGTGGCGGCCGGGAAGTCCGTGGACTACGGGTTCATTAGTGCCATTTTGTTCCTGGTTAGTGGCATTTTGCTGGTGATTATTTCCTACATAGTACCCAGAGATGTGACTGTGGATCCCAATACCGTGGCTGCCCGGGAGATGGAGAGGCTGGAGAACGAGAGCGCTAGGATTGGAGCTCACTTGGACCGCTGTGTTATCGCCGGGCTGTGTCTCCTAACACTGGGGGGAGTGGTGCTCTCCAGCCTGCTGATGATGTCCATGTGGAAAGGGGAGCTGTACCGGAGGAGCAGGTTTGCATCCTCCAAGGAGTCTGCGAAGCTCTATGGGTCTTTCAATTTCAGAATGAAGTCTGGTGCAAACGATAATATGCTCGAGCTGTCGTTAGTTGAGGAAGATGTGCTTGCCATAGATAATTAGTGTGGTCATGATTTTTAAGGCAGCATTTCTACAGGAAAATATGCTTCATTAAAGAAAACAGATGCGGCTAAAGATAGCTGGTGATGCAGTTTATTTGTCTGACAAAAATGGTTTTTTCTTAAGCTCTATAATCGAATGTTTGCAGTATATGAGTATTTGCTGTAAAGGGAAAACGTGCCAGAGAAAATGCAACTGATATAAAATAATGAAAACCACTGAATAAAAAGAGATTTGTGATAAGTAGGTTCAGATACTCCTTTATCCTAATATAAAACATTCCATTGGTGTCTTGCCTATATAATTTTCTTATTACTCCCATATAGAACAGGAACGACCTTGACACTTTGGAAGCTGTTAATTATTGCAGCCTGCAGGATTATTAACAGTCTACTTGGTAGGCTGTTAAGAAGCAGGACCAATAATCAAATAGCTGGGCTAATATTTAATTGAGAGATGCTTTTTTATCCTTTAATTTTAAGCTGATCCCTTCTCTTTCTATTGAGTGAGAGCAAAGGGGAAAAAAGAACCCCACTTGGTCATGACTTGCCACAAATCTCCCATATTTTCAAACAATTGTACAATTAGTGATGATTATTTAAAATATAAAATAAGAGGCAAAGGGCAGGGAACCATATGGCTCATGCTATTGGTAGGAGACAAAGGGCTCTTTCAGCTTGAGGTCAGTGGCTCCATTTCAGTTCAGATTAGCAATGATTGATAGTCATTAACTTCTGATAGCTATGGTGGCCCATATAAAAGAAGTTTAGTTCCTGGTGGACAGATGTCTTTGTATGAAAACTGCTATAACTTAACTGACCTCTTGTTTGGAGTCTCAAAAGACCCAAGGAGTAAAAAAGCATGGAGATGCTGAGACTGAACACTTCCACTTCAGTATGGATGCCAGAAGAAATTCAAGCTCAGCTGCAGGGCTTTGCTTATACTGGGGCTGTCTGCATCTTGTGAGTCCTTTTGAAACTTCCGTTTTACGTCACTAGACTGTCAGCCTTCTCCTAACGGGCAAGGAGAGGTCAGGAGGGAGGTTTCTGGGGGTTGTTCAATAAAAACCAATTTATTTGTAAAAAATAAATTGTCAGGAAATACAAAGGTTAAATATCAGGCAGCTGGACTGGCTGACATGGGACTTACTTAACATAGGGGATGATCAAGGGTACATGTTTTTATTAATTACAGTTCTGTGGCACAGTAGCCAAAAATGTGTACCATGGATGCTATTTACTTTATTATCGGCTGGTTTCTGTGGAACATCACAGTTGTGTTCTTGCAGTGCTGGGAAAACCAACAAAGATTCTTCTATGCACCACTGTCAGTTCTTACTGAACAGTCGTGTGTGTTTGTGTATATATATATATGCATATACATATATGTGTGTGTGTGTGTCCTGTTAACATATATATGTATGTTGAGAGAGATATATATATGTGTCCCTGCCAAAGCCAAACATGAGTGAAGAGCTCTGCCTGTACAGCCCCTGGCTGCAGAGTCTTAGTAGAAACATGTGATTCACTGTCACAGCCTTATCAGTAACGAGTTAAGTCTCAAATATCAGGAATATCAAATATTTTTAAAATTATACCTTTTTTTCTCTCTGCAACATACCTGAGAAGAGTTCTTTTGAGAAGGGGGGGAGGAGATCTCCTTTATGCCGCCTTTACCGAGGAATATGTGCGTGTGTGTGTGGCAGTACAAGGTTCAGGATAACAAGTGGCAGGTGGAAACGTAGGGGTTCTCCTGTGGAAAGTCGGAACGCTATTTTGTCACCTGGTTCCTCATTCCCTCTTCTCTGGCTGTTCACGTCAGAAGACAGGAGCAGCACCTGAGTCTGGCACTCACCTAGTTCAGTCCCCCCTGCTTGCCAGCTGCGGGTGCTGGCACGGGTGCCTTTACCGAGGGCCCGAGGAGCTGTGCTGCTCCAGGTTTCATGCCTTTGGTCACTGTAAATAGCGTGATGTGGTACCCAGGCTTTAACGTTGGCCCTGCAAAAGAGCTGCTGCTGCTACAGATGTTATCTGCTCTAACCGCTGCTTTAGTTCAGTGTTATCTGGTAATTAAAGGAGCAGCCTTATTAGGCAGTGCTGCTCCCTAGTAGATGATTTTGCCAGTTTATGTCATGATATGGAGTATGTTCGCAGGCAGGAACTCAACAGTGGTCAGCATCTCCACAGTCGTCTTTGGAGAGCTTACATCCCTCTGGATGTGTCATCAGGGATTCAGCATGGAATTTCTAGGGTAAATAAATAGAATAGCTTCCAGATGTGGGGAGAAGCCTTCAGCCTGTTGTGATCGGTGAGAGTGAGGAAGGAAGTAGCCCGAGAAGCAGGACACGGAGGAGGAAGTCTCCTCCTTAGCTGGCCTTTGCCTGCTGGTGGGTACAAGGACACTGCCTGCAAGGCCTGCCACATGGCTGGAGATGGGGCGCTGGGACGGCGCTGTCCCCTGTCCTGCCCCGAGGACAGGAAGGGGCTGGCCGTGGCCATGGCCACCAGAGGTCCAGGGAAAGCTGTGCCAAGCGGGAGGGCAAGCAGTGCTGAGCCAGGGGCAGCGAGATAGCATGGGACAGGGGACGGACATCTTGGGGGTTGAAAACCCTTTCACCAGCCCAGGCCTCTAATGGGAATTGCTGTACTCACCTCCACGACAGAGGCCCTAAAACTGAGGCCGGCAGTTTTGAGAGCAATTATTTTTATTTTTTAATGATACATATGCATAAAATTGGAGTACATTCCATTATTGCGGAAAGATGACAGCTAAAGCTGTAAGGATCACAGATTTCTTGTAGGAACCGTGTCATGCCTTAATGCTGATTATTAGCACTAGGAAAGGGAATGCTCCCCTGACTGTCAGTATGTTATTATCAAGTGAGAAGTTTTCTGACACTTTGTAAAATGCCTGTCATGGATCATGAGCCTGCAATACTTAAATGAACCCTCAAATTTTCCCTGAGCATTTTAAGTCAACCTAATAATCTAAATATACACCGCAGAAGTGTGAGGAGTAAGAAAATTTAAGTAACAGGACTAACAGTTTCTTTATTTTGGTGTTAGTGTGTGCTACGAAAGAGGCGACAGAAAGCCTTCCGAGTGTTTAGTTCAGCAAATAAAAACTCTCAGGACATTTCTTTGATCACCCAAGAAGATACCTTTACAAATTACTGGACTCTGTGGGTTGGTGATGCAATATAAAACCTCTGGACCCTCAGGTTCTCGTGCTGTGCAGTGCAACAGAGACCAAAACACTTGCTGTCTGGTGGCCGATGGTGGAAGATGAATGTATTAGCCTGCTGCCCAGTGGACGAGCCTTCGCGTCGTTCATCTTGCACAAGGTGGTACCAAAGGCTGAGGCCAAGGGAAATTGCCCTTTCGTGCACCCTCACAATTTGATTTCCCCTGCTCAAATTTAAACGCTTTAAGAGTACAAGTGTGAGGAAAATTGTTGTTTGGGGTTTTTTTGTTGCCTGGGCTAAAGTTGTCGCATAGATCTTTGGAGAGCTTTCTTTGGGGATCTAAACTTTGGGGCACACCACGTGGGTTTTATGTGCCCCTGGAGTACCCTGGAAACATATTGGGATTTGTGCCGTCAGTCAGTTTATTTCTGACCAACCCTAACAGCGAGCCGTGACACTTTCCCATTTTCTACCTCATGACGTGTCTGCAGGCCGGGCCCTGCCCTGGCCTCTGCCTTCCTGCCCCAGGGACCCGGAGGCCGGCAGCC